GAGAGAAATGAGTTAGCCCTCAAGCTAGCTTTTGTGGAAAGCTAAAGCCATGTTTATAAAATTTTCATGCTCTGTCACATTAAAATATATTGCACTTTGGGCTAAAGATATGGCTCAGGAAGCACTGGAGAGATGTCTCAGAGGTTAAGAGCACTGGCTGCTCTTCCAGAGGTCCTGAGTTCAATTCCCAGCATCCACATGGCGGTTCACAACCATCTGTAATGGGATTTGATTCCCTTTTCTGATGTGCATGAAAAGAGATCACTCAGATACATAAAATAAACAAATAAATAAAAATAAATTAAATTAAAAAAAAAAAGACGTGGCTCAGGGTTTAGAGCATTCGTTGCTCTTCCAGAGGACCTGGGTGCTATTCTCAGCATCTGCACGTTGGCTTACCACCATCTGTAACTCTAGTTCTAGGGTAACAGTTCTCAACATGTGCATCATGACCCCTTTGGGGCTCAAATATCAGATATCCTCTATATCAGATATTTATATTACAATTCATAACAGTAGCAAAATTATACTTATGGATGTAATAACGAAAATAATCTTATGACTGGGGGTCACCACACCATGAGGAACTGTATCAAAGGGTCACAGCCTGAGGAAGGTTGAGAACCACGGCTCTAGGTAGGTGGTCTTATGCTGCCCTCTGATCTCAAGCACCAGGCATACACATGGTGCACATACATGCACCCAGACAAAACATTCATACACATAAAATAAATCTGAAATATATAAATTAATCCATTGGCTCTTGACCTTGTATATCATATGGATCTTTTTACCCTTAAATTAATACCTGGAAATACCATGTTAGCATCTCTCAGATGTTGACTCTTTTTTGTATCATATTTTTGTTTTCATTATTTTTGTGGGGAGTTGGTTATTTAGTTGGTTGGGTTTTTTTGAGATATGGTCTCACCCTGTATCCCTGGCTGACCTGGAACTCATTATGTAGACTCAGTTGGCTTTGAACTCAATGAGATCCACCAGCTTCTGCCTTCCAAGTGCTAGGATTAAAGGCACAAGCCCCATGTCCATATTTTTATAGTCCCATGCTTTAATAGTATGCAACTGAGGTAGAGTGAGCTGCTGGTTAAAACATGTAGTGCCGGGTAGTGGAGGCACACGCCTTTAATCCCAGCACTTGGGAGGCAGTGTCAGGCAGATCTCTGTGAGTTTGAGGCCAGCCTTGTCTACAGAGAGAGATCCAGGACGGGCACCAAAACTACACAGAGAAACCCTGTCTCGAAAAATCGGAAAAATAAATAAATAAATAACATGTAGTTTAAGGATTAAAAAGATGTCTACCCCAGGGTTCTAGTTTATAAAATTCTGATTTTTTTACTACCACTTAAATGAAAATGGCATGTTTCTTTTTAACTACATCTGTGTGATAGAGATTACTATAGCTCCCAGGATAATATAATGCCTCACCCACGCCCTGCTAGGACACCACCACTTGAATTCATTAATTTTGTGTTGGTAGAGCAGCGCAGTAAATCAGTGAATGAGCACATCAAGGCCAGTGGTGTCTGCAGATCTTTTTAACATAGTTATTTGTGTTGTTTGTTTTGTTTTTTGAGACAAATGAGGTTTCATTATGTAGTGCCAGGCAGACCCTAATTTCACGATCCTCCTGCCTCCACCTCCCATATGCTGGGTTGAAGATAGTTAAGACCTTGTATGGCATTTGAAATGGTTTCCAAGGACTCAGGCACACTCAGGCAATGAACCACTAAAGAATCCTCCTGAAGCCTTCTTGGGTAGGTGTATAAAGACTCAGAAGGAGAGCCTTGGGATAATATGTATTAATGTAATACCACAGAGAGACCATGTTCCATATTGGCAATCTAGTTAGAAATCTCTGGAAAGTGTCCTGGCATGTGGGCCCTAGAGACAGGAGGATCCAGAGTTTGAGATTATCCTTGGCTACATGGTAAGTTTTTAGTTCAGCCTGGGCTACATGAAATCCAGTCTTAAAAAACAATATATAAATAAATGACAATGTCCAGAAAGTTTTGGAAAGAGGAGCATCACTAAACTTTCTCTTCTTGCCTCTGCTCTTTGTTGTGAAGATCTACCCTCAGGAGAGGCACAGCATCAGAGTCCCTGAGTCCGGAGAGCATTATGAACTGCACCTGTTGCACTACCTTCAGGAGAACCTTGGATCACGTATTGCTGCTCTGAAAGTGATCTAACTCTGACTTGTGTAGAATGCGGTATGCACTGTCTAACCAAACAAGGAGGGTTAGTCAGTAGAGAAGCCAGAGTTGGTAATCGTACTTTGGTACCTGCCATGTAAGACCTACTTCTGAGAGTAAATTTGGTGCCATGCAGAAATCTGCAGTTAATGGATAGTAATCTAATACCTTAACCATGCACACAGAACTGAGTGACGTATTTCCAAGAGATTGAGCAGTACCACGAGGATACTGGAAGAAGCAAGGCACCAGCGCCACATATTCACACTAGCCTGTGTTCACCTTTACTAGCAGCATAAGCCTTCTGGACTTCATTAGTGGATTTTACAGTATACTCTGAGTTTGTTAAAAATATGATGATAGTAGTGGTTGGTTTGGTTCAGTTCCAGGATCTCTGACTAGTTATGGATTCGATAGCACTTCCGTCTAATTGAGTAGCTTATGCTTCGTCACTTGGGGTGTATCCAGCATGTCATGAACTAATTACTATTAAGCTTATGACTTTCCCAGTCATTAATGATTTTTCAAGGATAACTTAGTGACCTCCTAAAGACACTTACTTGGGCTCTGACAAGTTTTTAACCAATTTAAACAGCATCTAGTATAAATAATTCTCCTCTTTCTTTGATACGATGGAGTGGGGTTTCCTTTCACACAAAGACAAGGAACTGTGTCACATGAGTCTAGTCACAAGTCTCATGATCTTGGCAATTACAGGCAAAAAAAAATTCAGGCAAATTATTTGAGAGCTTGAAAATTAGCAGGCAAGTTTTTTTTTCTCCTTTTAGGAACAGAAAATGTATACATTCATTTGTATTCTGAAAATGTAATGCTGCCCATTTTCATTTGGCCTTTCCTTTACTAAAGTGGTCCAGAGTTTCCAGGAGGTAGAAGGGTTACGGTGGGAATGGGGAGACCCTGGTGCAGGGAATGACGAGAAAGGAGGCAGCAAATCTCTGCTTAAGAACTGGGCAGAAATAGTTCAGCAGAAATACTCATGAGAAAAGCTGGGTCAGTGTCAACTCCCTGAGTGGCTGGGAACCACAACCAGGAAGTTAGGCTTTGCCGGCACAGCTACAGGACAACATTCAGAGGAGAACTTTTATAATTCCAGCTTTCGTTATTTTCCTTTCCACTTTAGAAACCTTACAAATCTACATTTTAACTTGTTTGTGTGTTTGTTTTTTGGTTTTTCAAGAGAGGGTTTCATTGTAAAGTAGCCCTGACTATCCTGAAATTCACTCAGTAGATCAGGCTCAGAGATCCACCTGCCTCTGCCTCTTGAGTGCTGGGATTAAAGGTGTGCACCACTACAACCCAGCTAACCTTTTTATTTGAATGTAATTTAGATATCGCTAGCTTAAAATAAAAAGTTTCCAGACCACTTCTTTGCTGTAAGCTAATCCCTGACAAACCATGGCGCTCTCAGCATTGAAAGCCTAGCTGACAGATTTTTTACTCGGCCATGACATTCTCCTGGTTTAGGAACACACTAGCTTTCAAGTGCTGGTTGGTGTCTGCCCTTTAGGGCCTTCCAGTATTAGATGGGTCCCATTGGAGCCAGGCACCTGTGGGTTTGACCCTTTTTAATCACAAACTCCAGTGTTTAGGAAGTTACAGTAATTTAAAAATCACTCCAAGAAAACTTGCTGTGTTTCTTTCTGCCTGCCACAGCAGGTCCCTTCCCAAGAGCAATCTGCATTAGTGAGGATGATAGCAGTCGGATCAGAGGTGGGCGGCTCAGGAAGCCTGGGAATAACAGGTGACCATGGGCTTCTGTCCTCGGAAAGGGAGGGCTGGTATCCGCTGGCTGTGTATTTATGTTGTATGATAGAGTCCACATTTTTTCTTATTGTCTATCTATTTTGATTTTCTTGCTTATGACATTTTCTCGTGCCAAAATTTGTTTATATTTTTCAAAGTTAAATTAAACTAATTTGGGTAACTTTCCTTCCCCCACAAAGTATTTCCCTCATGACTTAAGTATCTGTCTTGACTGTTGAGGGTGGTATTTGCTGGACCAACTAGCCTCCAAGGGCTGCTCTTACATTCTAAGTAGGAGTGACATAAAGTAGCTCTCACTACCCTTTTGAAATCTCTCACCCTTCAGTTTGCTTTGTAACAAGACATCTCCTATTTTATGCAAACAAGCCTGAGAGACCTCACTTCCCCCACATTCTTCTTGCCGTCTCTGCTGCTGTCACAGGAACGCATGCATTACCGTGTCATTTAAATGTCATCCCACTTCTCTAAGGAGGAAAGTGCTTTGCTCCCTTGCACAAAGGTGGCTTGACTGACTGGGTTTGCTTGTCTACACCAGTGTGACAGCCGTCGGTTAGCTGGAGCAATTGTCTGACTGTGGGTGTCGATGAGAAAGCAAGAGTCGGTGAAACTAGGAGTTTGATGGGCGCCGAGAAGCACTCGTTACACATCTGAGTGGGTTTTCACTTGGTGACAAGTGTACTCAGCATCCAGAGCAGCAGGACTCAGGTTCATCCAGGACCCTGAGCTCAAGAAATGAAGTCTTGAACCTCTTGCAGAGGCATGGGCTCCGTCAGTTTGGGTGGAGACCAGGAATATGCATTTCTAGCACAGCAAGCTTCCTGGGTACTTCGGGTCAGGGCACTGTAGACTGCTTTAAGAAACTGTCTGTAAAGAACGGGGTTGGAGTCAGACAATGTGTGACTTTACATTGGATGATTGTTACGAACCCAAAACAGTAGTCAGGAAAACTGCTCGTCTGTGATAACTGTTGACCTCTTCTTGCAGAAGCAGGAGCAAGTAACTCTATTGAAGGGAGAATGGCTTTTCCCATTCCTGACTCCCAAAGCCTCACACAGGAAGATGCTTCATGATGCACATCTGGCCCTTTAAAGCCATGAGCCACAGAGGAAGGCGGGAGAGGGGGTGTATGTTTTTGTTCAGGTGTTTCCTGCCTTTACCACATGGTTCTCTTACAGGTGGGTTGATTCCAGTCAGAGCCAACATAGTTACAGAATCAAAAGTTTTCCAGCTGGAACAAATCTTTAACATAACCCAGTGTTCTTGTATGCTGGGGGAAAAGACTGTGTTCTAGAGAGAAAAACACACCTGAGACCCCACATTTGGTTAGTACTCAGAACCAGGCTCCATCCGTGGCCTGCCTCATGGTAGGTGTGTAGTATTTAAGAAAGGCAGATTTTTAAAAGAAGTGTTTGTTAATATATTCCTATAAGACATTTTAAAGGAAACCACAAAAAAATGGTTAATTTTACCTGTCTTACTCAGTGCTAAGCATGCTTATTAATGAAGCAGTACTTCTGATGAATGTGTGACATTCCAAAGTTAACTGAAATAATTACACTAAATTTCTTCCTTGGTGCCTTGGGAGATAGGGACACAGAGTGCTTGCATAGACCCAGGAGCCCATCTTAGAGCTACAAGAGCCTCAGCCTGGTCTAAACTATGTAATGTGAGAGCGTCCTCTCCCAGCAGATGGAAGGGAACTGGAAACATCCCCAACTGCTCCCTTCCCAGCCCCACCCCTCCTCTTCTGTCTGCCCCCTACTGTTAGTGCAAGGAAGGTGCTCGGCTCTAGACAGTTGTTCCGGAAGTCCCTGCAGACACAGAGCTGTGTTTGCATGTTTGGTTTTAAGTAATCCTAATACAAAGCTATGTTGTTTTCAGCACAGTTGGAATGGGGAGGGTCTTTAATTTTAGCGCATAAAGTGCCTGCTGTTCCAGCGCTGACCTGTACATGATCTGCATGTCTCTCTCCAGTAAGCATATGGGTCTCCTCAGTTTCAGCCCCATGGCTTTTAATCGTGTGATGTGAAGCATTAGTTTCGCTGCATTTTATTACAGGTTCTTGGTTGCAATAAAGATGCTGCTGAAATGAACTGACTTCAGTGTTCCTTCCCCTTCCTCCTCCCCATCTCTACAGCCTTCGCTTTGATGACTCACACCTGTGGAGTGCAGCCACACAAGGTCATGTGCTGCAGAGAATGGAGATGCTGGGGTGGAGGTGCAGGGCTGTGGGGGAGTTCTAGTACAAACACTGACCATCTGTACTGAGTGGGAGGTGTGCAGAGCGCTGCTCAGTACCTGCCCGAGCTTTCCAGAAGCCCTCAGCCCAGATGCCAGGGCAGAGAGTGCTCGGAGCCAGGAACTAACAGATACCCCGTGAACAACTGGGGGCTTCTGTATATCACTAGCAATTGATAGGGGTTTCTGCAGGTTCTGAACGTCCTAAGAGAGTTTAGTGTGATGCTTTCATTTTTAAGTTACACTTATGTGTGCCATGGTATGAGTGTGGAGGTCAGAGGATGACTTGTAGGAGTGGTTCTCTCCTTCCACCCTGTGGGTGCCAGGGACTGAGCTCAGGTTAGCAGGTGTGGCAGCAAGCACCTTTACCTGCTGAGCCATCTCCCCAGTCCTGTGGAGTGCTTTTCTCTTTGACCATTCTGAAGGTTTTGCCATCCTTATCTTCCCAGGTGTGGTACAAACAGGGCCTCCGGCGTGCTAGGCAAGTATTCAGCCTCTGAGCTATAGCCCTAAGCCAGCAATTCTGATTTTTAACAGCAAGTTGAGTTTGTCGATGTTCCAGAACACAGTTTGTCTGGATTCTGTGGCTCTCTGTAGTTATGTATAAAACATCACATGAACAAACAGGATAAACCAACCATGACTATATTAGGGTCTTTTGTATATGAAAATTAGGGATAAAAATTATCTCTAAATAAGGTAGTTTGGGGTTAGAGAGATGACTCAGAAGTTAGGAGCACTTGCTGCTCTTCCAGGAGACCTGGGTTCAAATCCTAACACTCACATAGCAGTTAATAACCATTTGTAACTTCAGTTCCAGGGCATCCAGAGTCCTCTTCGTACCACCTCTAGCACAGATCACATACATGGTTCACATAAATTCAGGCAGGACACTCATACATATAGTGCACGTAAACTAAAATGTAAAAGTAAAGTAATTGTATAATTAGTATTTCCTGGACTTTTCACCATGTCATTCTCACACACAAGAAATCGTAGGCTGAGTGTGGTGATTAACACCTTTAATCTCAGACTCGGGAGACAGAGACAGGCATGTTTCTGTGAATTTGAGGCCAGCCTGATCTACATAGTGAATTCCAGGCCAGTTAGGACTTTTGGGGAAAAAAAAAAAAGATATGACACTAGAGTAAATTGAGACACACCAGAATTATCTATTGAGATTGTAGCCAGAAATCACTGGCCAGGCCCAGCCCAGCCCTAAAGAAAATATTATTATTATTATTATTACATTTATTTGTCTATTGTGTGGGTGTGCATGTGGATGCAGAGAGCAACTTCTGGACGTTGGTTCTGAGTCTTCAACATGTGGATTCTGGGGATCAGATTCCAGTCACTAGACTTGGTGACATGTGCTTTTAACTGAGCCACCTCCCTGGCCCCACTACCAGGATTTGGGTCTGAATGTGCACATAATCTATTTGTGGTGCCATGACAGAAACTACCTAGCCTTTAAGTCAGCCTAGACTGACTTCTGATCAGAAAGCAGCTTCCGGCCAGCCTGCATGCTAGGTTGGAGGTATTAGAGGCATCCAGTGGCCACAACTTCCACAGTCACTGGAGCAAATACCTGGCCTGGAAACCCTTTCCACTGGTGTCTGGCCTGACCCCACCCACTCAGTGCATACAGCGGGCACAGTTAAAGCAGCAGCAGTGTGAGAATCTTCTAATCAGAGTGTGGCTCCACTTGGGGGCTCCTGTGGTCAGGAATTGCTGGGATTTAAGTGCTCCTCAGCCTGGCCGCCCACAGATCTGATGTCCTGACTTTGCCATTCAGAAAACAAGCTGCCCCGGGGAAATACAGATTTCAGCCATGACACAGGCACTGGGATTGTCAAGGTTGCTGTTTGCTTCTTCCTGAAGCATGCCATCTCTAAACTGTCTTCTAGACTTGAGTTCTTGAGAGAGAAGTTTAGGGAAACTACCAACTTAGCGGACCCAAGCAAGTGCCAGGAACACACACACACACACACACACACACACACACACACACACACCTCCTTGGAGAAGGGGCCTGGTTAGGTGGTCTTGTTTAACAATCTACTCAAGTGTGGGTGCAGTCCTTTCTTGAAGCCATGTGGCTCTTCTATGAAGTATGTTGTCTGTGTAGGCTTAGTTAAGGAGCACATGGTCATAAATATCCCTACACTTGCATAGGACTGTTACCGTGTACAATTCAGTCTAATGCTCTGTGATGTTGGCCTTGCCAGTTAACTGCTTTGAATTAATTGTCTCTGTAGTCCAGCCCATTCCTCCTCATCCCTTCCATCCCTTCCACCAACCCCTGCCCCATGGTAGTCTTGTCTCATGCAGGATACCTACAGCAGCTCTCCCACTAGGCTGATGGGGGTGAAGAAAAGAACCTCAGGCAGCTTTAAGGAAGCGTGTCTGAACTTTGATTCAGCAAATATTTCGCAGCAGTCACATGGCAGGCCTGTTAGGCCATGAAAAGGCTGAAGGAGCAGGCTCTCAGAAGCAGCTGTACCTCCCACCCACAAACCTTCCTTAGGACCCTCCATTCCGAGAGGTGAGCTAATTCACTCTCCTGCTTAACCCCCAGCACTACCCCACTTCCCGAGCCAGCCCATGGTGCACTTCATGTTCAAGACTCTCATCAATGGTGAGGGTGAGGACTGTAGAATACCTGTAATCACAGCACTCAGCAGGCCGAAGCAAGAGGATCACCACAAGGCCAGCCACACGACATAGTAAGACCCTGTGTAACAAAAACAAAGCAAAGGACAGGACTCTCATTGAGGGCTGGGAATGGGACTCGGTGATAAAGCGCTTGTCTGCTAGACCCAAAGCCCAATCTCTTGCACCTCAAAAGAAAAGAGGGGGTGGGCTGGAGAGCTGATTCAGTGGTGTATATGCAGAGTATATACTGCTCTGACAAGAGAACCCACATCAGGCAGCTGACTTCAGCTCTAACTTCAGCTCCAGGGGATGCAACGCCCTCTCCTTTACTCCTCAGGTACCTCCATTCACATGGACAAACCCGCACATAAACACATAATTAAAATAAACCCAGTTGGGCGTGGCAGTGCACACCTTTCATCCCAGCACCCTGGGAGGCAGAGGCAGGCAGATCCCTATGAGTTCAAGGCCAGCCTGGTGTATGGAAAGAATTCCAAGACGGTTACACAGAGAAACCCTGTCTATAAATAAATAAATAAATAAATAAATAAATAAATAAATAAATAAATAAATAAATAAATACATCTGAGCAGGGCATGATGGTGCATACCTTTATCCACAACACTGGGGAGACAGAGGCAGTTAGGTCGCAAGTTGGAGACCAGATACGACAAGACCTGTCTCCACATTAGCAACAACACAAGTTAACTAAGATCCAGTGGATATGGTGGTGTGCACCATGGTCCCACTCAGGAGGCCGAGGTAGGAGGCCAATGGAGCACAAGATTTTGAGGAAGCTTGGGCAATGTAGCCAGACTTTGTCACAGGCCGTGGGAGGGGGCTCGGGAAGAATTGTGTCGTCTGGCCTGGCTTCATCTCCCCTCTCCTCAGCACCTGTGGAGGCGCTTGAGGCTTCCCACTTTCAGTCAGCGTGGGTCTCCATCAGAACTCTTGGCCTGTATGGGGTTTGGGATTGCTGCCCAAGAGAGGTGGAGAAGCAGAATGGCCCCCACATTAGCTTCCCAGCAGTGCACCTTTGCTCCCTGCTGGTTTGAGGTGTTTGGACGTGGTTCTACGACATCCTGACCCTCTGCGTCCTGGGTGTGAGGTGACCATGATAAACCCTTCCTCAGCAGGCCCTGCCCAGAAAGCGCCTGCTGCAGCCAGCGTTGGAGGATCCAGTGATGTTAACTCGGAGTCAGTACTTCATTTTATGCCACGACTTCCTACTGCCTTTCTCTCTCTAGTTGGCTTACAGACCCTGGAGCTAGCATTCCTACGCCGGCTGGCTTCTCCTCAGGCTTCTGTGGAGTCACACAAGGAGGAATCACTTGCTAGATGTTTACTACCAGAATTTTCCAGGTAATAAACACATGGGCCACTGAGATGGTTCAGCAGGCAAAGGTGCTTGCCTCCAGGCCAGGTGACCTGAGTTCAAACTGGGGGCTAACGTGATGGAAGGAGAGAGCTGTTGCCTAAAGATTGTCCTCTGACCGCCTTACATGAACCGTGGCATTACACACACACACACACACACACACACACACACACACACACACACACACACACACACTGAAGTTAATAAAAAGCAAAGGGGAGGGCTGGGGCTGTGTTCAGTAGGTAGTGTTGGGCCCCAGGCTACATTCTGGCATTTCTTCTCCACATAGCCGTCAGCACTGTTCTGTTGTTTTGATGACATCTGTTAGACTAAGGTGATGGTAGAGTTTTGCCTTTCCCTGGTAGCTAATTATACTGAGTGCTTTCACGAATTTGTTAGCCACTTGTTTTGTTTTGTTTGTTTGTTTGTTTGTTTGGGTTTTGTAATTTTTTTAAATATATACGAATGGTTTGAATGAGATGTCCCCCATAGTCTTAGGCATCTGAGTACTTTGTCCCCAGTTGGTGACATTGTTTGGGTAGGTTTAGGAGGTATGACCTTGTGGAGGAAATATGTCACTGGGGGTGGGCTTTGAGGTTTCGAACCCCAAGTGGTGCTATTTGAGTGCACTCTGTCTGCCTCCCGCCTGTGGGTGGAGACACGAGCTCCCAGGTGCAGCTCTAGCCACCATGTCTGCGTTCCTGCTGCCATGCTCCTGCCTGTGATGGTGACGGACTCGAACTATAAGCCCAAAATAAACTCATCTATAAGTTGCTTTGGTCATGGTGTTCTATCATAGCAATAGAAAAGTACTAATATGAG